GAAAGCTTCTTTTTGTTTTTAATATATCTAAAACTCTGAAAATGAGGGTGTTGCTCTGCACTGTTACCAAAAGAGGAACACCCCTTTCGAAAGGTCCAGAAGAGGAGGGAACAACTCATTTTATTCAGTTGAGAGCCAACGTCCACCTCCCATCTGTGACACACCAAGGGAAAAAGTGCCCATTTCCATTGTTTCCAATATAATGGTAAGCGATAAAATGGAAGATAGGAAACCATGTGAACAGGGCCGCTTGTATTTCCACGCATTTCCACAGGCTCCTGAGCTTGAACACAGCTTTGAAGCTGGCTGGCCATATCCAAATGAAAGTTGTGAGTCTCTGGAGTGTAAACATTGCAATGATTGCCCTTCGCCGCACGCAATTAGAGCAGCTGAAGGCACGGCTCAGATATGCTTTTGACAGCAATACAGTTAAAGGTCGTGACCTAAAAGCACATCTAAAACCCAGCCCTCTGCCAGCAGTGCAAGTAATTCCTTTCTCCAACCAGCGGACAAAATAATACGTGGAGCGTAAAAAAATGAATGTGATGGAAGTGCCTGGGAGCGGGTCCTTTCTACCTCAGTAAGTACTGCGAGGGTTTTCTCCTCCCGCTGGGAGCAAGCCTTTCCCACAGATCCAGAGGGAAAGGCAGCTTTTGTTCAGCTGTGGTGATGCACCGAGGAGCCGGCTGATGAGGCTTGCAGTCACGATGCCAAAGTGGTGCCGAAACACCTTGTCCTTGCTCCTGCATAGATGCCATGGATGGCAAGACAGGGGAGCACCATGCACCCACAGCTTTCCTTCTGGGAATGACACCAGCACTGCTGGTGATGTTCATCCTGAGCACTCTGCTGCTCTCTGGCATCACGATTGTGCTGAGAGAGACATTTGCCAGGAAAAAGTTCAATGGTGGTGGAAGTTTATGCTTTTGTCTAGGACTTTTGTTGTGTCCTTACACTGGATATTTCCACGTTCTCTAACGTTACGTTCTAAGCGTGCTGTGGTCCTTCTCTCCTGGTTGTTCGTTACCAGCAGGATCATTTTATGCAGCACAGTTGGAATTTGAGAGCTGCTGGCAGCCTGACCGCATCATCTGCCAGTGACCAGGCTGTGTCCTCTCCTGGTGGATACTGGATAATTGATTGTTTTTTTTCTCTTTCTCTAGGTTACTCCTGTCTTTGAATAGGCTTCCTAAATACATGTATAAAATCATCAGTTAGAATTTGTGGATTGATGAACTAAATAACAGATATTTTATTTTATTTATTTTATTTTTTTCCTGTTGCCTGGACCTCAGGGAGAGTGTCCCTGATTTTTGAGTTGTCAAACACTTTCTGTTGTCAAAATGTCAGCCTGGACTTTCTTCTTTGCCATTTTGTGCCGCATGTGTGATTGTGTGATGTTCTCAGGGCAAGTGACATTGAGCTAGACCCCTGCAGGAGGCTCAACCCTAATGCTCTTTGACCGGGCAGTTACTTTGCTCCCTGGAGTGCCCTTTTGGGGCTGGGGATGTTGGAAATACTCCTCAGTGTGAGGGCTGCAGCATTGGCTGCCCCAAGCACCCCGGTATTATTATTGGGCCAAAAGAGCAGTCAGTATATGATAACATGGCTGCAAACCCTCAGTGCCATCTTTATAGTATAAAGAGAACAAAATTGTTCTGAAGGTGCTTTCTGTGCACTGCCACTTATTTCGCAGAGCCAAGCGTGCTCTTCGTGTCTGCCAAGTGGAAGTGGAGGTCAGCGAGGTACAAGCAAATGCTTAGCGAGTAGCAGGTAAAAACAAACACAGAAAGGAGGCTGTCAGAGCTAATACAGAGCCTTGTTGCACGTTGAATAAAGCTTTTAAGACTTTATCTATTTTGCTTGGGGCAAACAGTGCATTTTGTTTCTGTTTTGCAGCTTTCAAAGGTTAAATAGAGAGTATTAGGTTATGGTAAGTGGTCATCAGAGGCTTGCTTTACAGTCATGGCCTATTAAATTGTTTACTGAGCCTTATTACAGATAGATGCTTTTGATGCTGAAGAGAGTCTTAATTCCAGTTCACCTCCTTCTGGACATGAGTTTTTCAGAAAACCTGGAAAGAGAAACATGAAGGTTAAGGTGCTTCGTATTGTAGGCCACAGATAGTGAATTGTCACCGCAAACATACTGGTCACTCCTGTAAACTTAGCATTTTGTGTATCTTGGCATGTTTTTCTAACCTATCCTCTAACACTCTCCCTCCTTAACAAGGAAGGCGAGTGTAAGTCTGGTAACAGTGAACAAGGCTTTCGGATATTCTATTTGGACACTTTTGGCTGTATAAAAATAGTCTATTTTAAGACAAAGTATTTTAATCTCTTATTTATTTTCCTTTTCAACCCAGCTTCTAGGTTCAGGATGCCTAAAACACAGCCTGTGTGTCTTAGAGGACAGCCCACAGGTGCTGTGGGATCAACAGGGAGATCGATGCAACTGGAGCTTGGGCACCACGGGATTTCCAGCAGCCTCCCGAGGCAGGCAGGGCCAGCGACCCTTGTATTTGCACAGTGATGCTCAGTTCATCTTTGTAGAAGAGTGATGTGCATTTGTATGGAAGTCAGGTGATGCTCGGGCAGCCTGCCATTGGGGACCTTTGTGTATGTGGCTTATTGGGTTTGCAGAACTCTTTGCAAGATTTCCACGCATATGAAACCTGGTGCCAGGACTTGACAGTAAATCCTCAGATAACCTGTGCTGTCAGATAATCCAGGCAAAATGGGTTCCTGGCACTGCCAGGAATCTGCTGTAGTACAGGAGCAGGCTGCCAGAGTGAGCAGAAACAACAAGTATGGGAGTGATTAGGGGAGCTCACAGAGCAAAGTAGTAGGGCAGAAGGTGCTCTGGGATAAATCCCCTTCTGTGTACCTGCACGTGCTTATAACCGGACCTGCTGCCAGGCTTCAGGCTGTTTAGTGTTTCAAATAATTTGCAGATTCCACTGCGAACAGGGTATTGTACCCCTATAGTCCTGTGTTGGACCTGTGGCATGTGAAAAGGCTTCAAGTTTCTGTGAGAAGGTGGTCAGGTCTGTGCTGCCATTATGCTGGGGCAGGGATGGAGCACAGAGATGCGCAAACCAATTCATACCACATGGAAGTTTAAAAATGTGTCAGAAAGTGTGGAAGTTAATGAGGAATTATATCCGTATGCTCACGAAGAGAAAAAGATGCATCTGAAAATAGTGCCACAGAAGCAGGTCACTGAAGTTTGAGATAATGTCCTGCTGGTATTACTTGCAGGCAGGACTCCTGTGTTTTATAGTGGAAAAATGTTTTTTAAAAATAATAATAAATCAGTAGTGACATAGAAAAGATGATTGACAGGAGATTGCTGTTTACTTTCCGTAACAGCCACACATTAGATTGCTTCACATTGGGTATTTAACTGAAGCTGACTCTTATTTCAATAAAAAGCAGACATTTCCCATATTTTGGAGGGCCTATTCTGCTTGGAAGCATGCAGCGTGCCCCCTCCTCAGAGTACTCAGTTGTTAACATGCTCAGTTTTTCAGGCAGCTGGCTGCTGGGTGGCTCTGGTCTCCGCGCTCACTCACCAGGAGAAAAATATGAAGCTGACCATGCTGCCAAATAAAAGGGAAGTTGAGTTTATTGCTGTGAAAAGGTGCGAAGTTAAGCTGTCTGACCTGATTTTTTTTTTTAATTTCTCTGTATTTTTACATTTTCCCAACTATCCAAGTTAGTGAGGAAGGACTTGCAGAGGCTGTGATTTCTCCCAGTTGCTGGCAGGGATGTGAGGCTAAGAATTTTCCCTAAACTTCCCCAGAGGAGATTCTGGTGCTTTTTGTTGAGGAGGCATCTTTGTGACTGAAGGAATACAAATTCTCTGCAGAGCAATGCTCCCTCTCTATGTGAGTGCTAAGCCTGCATAGCCAGAGCAGCCACAGAGGCTGCCTGTGCGAAATCTCTCCCTGCTGAGGTTTTAGCCCTTCGCATGTCCTTTGCTAATACTTGTTTTGAAATGATGCTTCATGTCAGCTGCCACAGCTCGGTGCCACCGTGGGCTGTTCTCGAGTCCAGACTGCTTCCCGGCCGGTGTGAAGTGGCCTCTGCTGCCTGACGGGGGCTGTTGACTGGTGCCGATAGTTTTTGTTGGGAGCAAACATAGCAAGGAGCCAACTGTGATGGTGATGCAGGCGTGATTTCTGACAGCCCTTGGATATGTTTTCCAAATGCCAAAGCCAGTGACCTAGTTGAACTGAGATCTCAGTGAGCCTCTCCACGGATAATACAGAAAAAGGCACATTTTTTTTTGTTTTGTTTTATTTTTGAGATAATCTGGTAGACAGCATGCTATGAAGGTTTGAAGAGAGAGTGCAGGTGTGATCAGTGAGCTGGGGTGTCACCTGTAACCCATAGCTGCATGGATGTTACTGCCTTAAATCTATTAAACATATCCTCTACCAGTACTCTAATAATATTCTTCCTACTACTGCAGATTTATCTGCAGGGGGTGATGTTAGGAAAAATGACTTTTCCTAGTGCTGTCCTCTATATTGCTGAGTTTCTCTTGAAATGACAATTTGTCTAATCATCAGAAAGCTGAATTTTGACAAATATTCCTTACAGCATTATAGCTGGTCCTGTAGTTATGCCAGTTCTCTAAACACCTCTTGCTTCCTTTCTTCAGGAAAATTATTAATCCATACATTTTAATTTAGGATTTTATTTGGGTATTTAGGAAGCCTGTTCAAAGACAGGAGGAAATAACAGCTGAGCTAAGGCTAATGCTTCCAGCTTAGATCTTTTTTAGGAAGGAATACACAGGTTAATAATGCCCAGTTACTCCCTATTGCTGTCAGTAGTACAGACAGCAAAGTCTTATTTTCTATGGTTTCAAACTCCAAATGGGAGGCAGAGTGAAGCTCACAAGCAGAGTTAGGCCCAAAGAGGAGTTCTGAGGTGGAAGTTGTCTGTCCGGACCTCCGCTAACCTCTTGTGGTCTCTTCTCCTTTTCCATAGGCAACATCTTTGTGGTCAGCTTGTCTGTTGCAGACCTTGTAGTGGCAGTGTATCCGTACCCTCTGATCCTGAGTGCCATTTTCCACAATGGGTGGACCATGGGAAACGTCCACTGCCAGATAAGCGGGTTCCTGATGGGCCTCAGTGTCATCGGGTCCATTTTCAACATCACCGCCATCGCAATCAACCGCTACTGCTACATCTGCCACAGCCTTCGGTATGATAAGCTCTTCAACCTGAAGAACACCTGCTGCTACATCTGCCTGACCTGGCTGCTCACCGTGGTGGCCATCGTGCCAAACTTCTTCGTTGGGTCCTTGCAATATGACCCCCGGATTTACTCCTGCACCTTTGCCCAGACGGTGAGCACGTCGTACACCATCGCGGTGGTGGTGGTCCACTTCATCGTCCCGCTGTCCATCGTGACGTTTTGCTACCTACGGATCTGGATTTTGGTGATTCAAGTCAAACACCGGGTGAGACAAGACTGCAAGCAGAAGCTCCGAGCAGCTGACATCCGGAATTTCTTGACCATGTTTGTGGTTTTTGTCCTTTTTGCTGTGTGCTGGGGACCATTAAACTTTATTGGCCTTGCTGTTTCAATTAATCCTTCCAAAGTGCAGCCACACATTCCAGAGTGGCTTTTTGTCCTGAGCTATTTTATGGCCTATTTTAACAGCTGCCTCAATGCCGTGATCTATGGGCTGCTTAACCAGAATTTCCGAAAGGAGTACAAAAGGATACTGCTGACACTCCGGACTCCCAGGCTGCTCTTCATCGATGTGTCGAAGGGTGGGACGGAAGGGCTGAAAAGCAAGCCGTCTCCAGCAGTAACGAACAATAACAACCAAGCTGAAATAAACTTATGAGCCAGAACAGCAGCAATATTTATTCTGGGTTACCCGTGTACATATAATACATAAGCCTTTCTACCTGTGCATTTCACAGCTCTTGTTGCTGGACCCCAAATGGCCACCCCCTTCTCATGCAAGGAAGGAGTCTGGTACTTTTAATGCTCAGCTTATCACCATGACATCACAGCTTTGAGTAAGGATTTTAAGAATGGAACAACTGCCCTTTACCTTTTTTTTAATTATTTTATTTTATATTTTTTTTCCTATGCCATCATTCACTGTGTGCCTAATAAATTGCTTTGGTTGCTTCTGCAACAAGCATGCCACTACCCTCAAAAAGGGAAGCGTTCAGAGTGCATGAAAAAATGCAGCTATATTTGAAATGCAACCTGCGGAATTGCTGTGTAACACAAACCAACTTTTCTCACCTCCCTCTGAATTCTGTTCCTTAGCATTAACATAACCCAAATTACAGTAATCAAAGTGTAAACTGCATGGCTTCGTATCTTTTCAGTTAGGTTAGTAATGGTGTTAGCCAGCAGGCGTACATATGAGCACAATGACTTCCACTGTGCATGTGTTTGTTTTCCTTTTTCCTTCTATTACAGCTTAGTAGCTGGCCTGGGCTGAATGCAAGGCAAACAGAAGCCAGACCTAGTGAGTGTCTGATGTGCTCATTTTAATTGAATCTCTACAGATATTAAGTACCCTTGCACTCTCCTTCCAGGCCATGAATAAGAGTATATAGCACATGACATAATCTAATTGCAGGAAGATACTTGGAGCCTGATTCTAATTTAGGCAGTGTCCTGCCATGGCTTGCATTCATTCCAAACATCTATCAGAAGTTCCTTCTGCATGAGCATCATAAAAAAGATGAACATAACAGAGTCCTATCCGCTTAATGCAGATGCAGGCTTTTAATAAAAGAGGAAAACTGAGTTCCGGTGATATTTGCACTTGGCCATGAAGGCAGAAGGGGAAGGAAGTTTTTGTTCCAACTATCTTCCCTTTTGCCCACCACATAACTTGAATTTGATGGGGGAAAAGAGGGGAGAATTTTATTCCATTTTGTTCATGGGTGAAGCAGTGATTAATTCATGGGAGCTGGGAGAAGATAGCTACGTAAGCATATTCATGCATCAGTTCTCAGTTAACACCTGAACTTTGTTATCTTTGTCATTGAAAACCATGTCCTGAAGTGCTGGGAAGGCCAGTATCGCATCAGAAACAAGCACATGGGCAGAGATAAGGCTGTTTCTTTAATGAAGTGTGTATAGGGGGACTGATTGCTGTCTGTAAATACGACTTTATTTTTTCTTCGACTCATTGTGAATTCAACTTCTTATGGTTTTAAATGAGCAGAACCTGCTTTGAAACAGTCCCATTAAATCAGCAGATAAAACTCCCCTGGTGCAGCTCTGTCTTCAAGCTAGCAAGCCTGGCTTGGTGCCGGTGTACCAGGGGGCACAGCGGGAGCTGCATGAGGGGTGGGAGCAGGTCTGAGCCCCGTGGGTATAATAAAGACAGCAGCCGGCCTGCTCCTGATCAAAGAGTGCAGCCTTCTCCCAGTGACTTAAGGTACTGATTGCAGTCAGAGCAGGTTCATAGGGCTGAGTCCTGAACTGCCGAGAGCCTTTGTGGTAGCACACAGGTGCCTCGAGATGAAAGCAGGCAGGATTTACAAAAATCCATAGGCAGGCTAAGTGCCTAATCCTGAGCAAAGGTAAGCCATTTCTGCACTGCTTGTTGAAAGCATCCTGTTGCTGAACGTCCCTCCTGCTGAATATTCTGGGGGAAGAAAAGTTGAAAGAAATTGAGCTCCTTTATGGATCAGGCCAAAAAACACTGCATGGTGCATTACTTCAGTGCAGCGTGTGTGCTGCCCCTGTGGCAAAGGTCGCTGTGATGTGAGCAGGTCTCTGTCTTTGCTGGGCGCCCTTGCACTTCATGATGTTTTCAGACTTGAACATCTCCGCAACATCAGATGATTATTGTTTTAAAATGCACTGCAGCCAGCATCCCATAATAGGAATCAAGCTGAAGTCTGTTTTGGCCTCTTGATCTGCCTGAGCATGGCCAAATAAAGGTATATTGACCCTCGGAAATAACATGGTCTGTTTGCCTTCCAGCAAAACCAGTCTGGACGAATTCACACCATTTTGTGCAAACAAGGATGTTTTGAGTCAAACTAGGATAAGACAAGTGCAGAGAGGCAGCTGCAGCTGCAGTCAGTGCTCCTGCCATCGCCCAGGGAGTTGTCCCCTGTGCTGTGACCAGTCCTCAAATTAGTTTCTAATTAGCCACAGCAGCGTTAGTCAGAATCACATTAGCAAATAATTTTATCTGTTCAGCACCAACCCAAGCCAAGTACACTCCTTTCAGACAATCACGAAGGATCCTTTACAAGTTTGCCAAATGTCTCATAATCCCCCACCACTGGGGTTTCATCCTGTGGATCCTTGCCTTTCTAACTGAATGTTTAATGCAGGCAATGCGGTATTTTTCCTTTCTTTAAGCTTGGATTTGCACTATTTCTTATTTGGGCTCCAAAGTAACAGCCAGCGAGTGTTTGAACCAAGCTGGGTAAGCCAAAGAGGTCCCAAACAGGCACACAGTGGGAGCCTGTGCTGGTGCCTGGTGGGGAAAGGAGCAAGAGGAGCACCACAAGCATCTCCCAGGGGCTCGTGGAGTCCCTGCTGAACCGAACTATGCAAAGTGACAGGGCACCTGCCCCTCTTCTGCTGGATTTGCAGGGGACAAAGCGCCTGCTGCTGCGAGGTGGGGGCCCTGCTGCCACCCTGCAGGCTGGGGATGGGTCCTGTGATGGGCTCCAGCCATCAGACGGCACCGAGAGCTCGCCCCAGCACAACCCGTTCAGAAGTGTTTTCGGAGTCCCAGCGGGATGATTCAGCCGTCACGGCTGGGTTCCTGAGCGAAGTCCTGCTGGGGCTGGGATCTGCAATATAAAACATTAAGAGCAGGGAATGCTGGCTTCAAACAGAAAACACTGTGCCATTTGCTAGCACTTTGATACAGAGACAGTACTTAGGATAGGATAGAATAGATTTTTATACTGAATTATTTTAAGACTACCCGAGCAGCTCCTTATTTTTATGTTAAGAAATGGTTAACAGGGTACAGAAAGTTTATTTTGTTAACATTTGTTTACAGAAAAAGGGAGGTGTGTCTTAAACTGTGAATCCTGAGCAGAGTCAGTTTCCCCATGATAATCTAGCTTTAATCCAAATTGGAGCTTTCAAGGAAATCCCACAGCTTAAACTACACTCTGCCAATTCCACCTGTTGCATACCCTGCCTTAAGTCTCAGAAACAGCATTGACCTCTCCTATAAATAGGATTTATATCACTTGCTATGGATTTGATCTGTCCTGAATACCGAGTCTAGCCCCAAACCCTGAGATTGTTGTAGTGGATGTGAACTTATGGAGAGATGGTATTGCTATGAAGTAAGATTAATCTCTTGCCATGAAGAATTTTTTTGGGATGTTGCTAATGAATGTTGTTTAATCTATTTAAGAGGAATGTAATCGGTATATTTATATATGAATATATATTGCATATACTGTTTCCACTTTGTTATTTGATTAATAAATCTGCAGTATACTTCCTATTGCTATTTTTTGTTCATGAAGAAGATTTGTTCCCTTTACCTGTTAAAACTGTAATAAATCTCCCATTGGACTGCTTATTGATTTTTCCCTTTGCAGTTATTTTTTAATAAATATTTGGAACAGCTTGGGTTTTGTTGACTACCAGAAAGCAGATTGAATTGACAAATATAATTGGTTAAAATAGAGATTGAGTTCAGGCGTACGTCGGATTCATGAGTTTTTCTTCCAGCCACCTGTAAGCCAGCAGCCTGATGCACTGCAGTCATCCTCTTTGTGGAGGAAACTCTCTTTGTGTCGTCTCATCACTGTGTGTCCCTCCAAGGCCCTTTGCCTTTCTCGTGTCTATGTTCTGCAGCTGTGAGATCATGGGTTGCAGCCTGCTCCTTTTTTATAAGCCGTTTCTTGCCCAGTCTCAGAAGGGCTTTGCAAAAACCCTGCTGTGGCTGCATTTTTATTTTAAAAATCAGACAGCATCCAATGTGCTTCTTTTGGGCTAGTATTTCAAATTTGGGCTTGTGATCAATTTGTATTATGCTCTGAAAATAAATATTTAAAAATATTTCTGAAAGGGCAATTAAACTGGAGTTATTAAATCATCAGTAAGATCTTAAGATCTTACTGATCTTTCGTTAAGAAAAGCGTATCCTAAATTAGTAAATTACTTATCAGAGAAGGCAGATCTCTGTTCTTGAAAGAAATGTGGCATCTAGCAATTAGCTTCTACTGAGCTGTCTACAGAGAAATACAGACTTTCATTTCATTTCATTAACATTTCTTCCATATCTTAGGCACGCTGAGTATTCATTGGAGGCTGCACTGACTGCTCCTGTGCTGGTGGCAGGACTGAGCAGAGGCTACTGGGTTCTCAGTGCTCAGTCTCAAAAGCTAGAGATGAGGTTGCACTGGTTGGAAAGTGGAAAAATAAATAAACATAGAAATAGCTGCTGTCCTTGCTGCCTGCAAAGGAAAAGCAGCATTTCATTGCAGCAGCAGGATAAACATGAAAACTATCGCATGAAAACCATGGCTTGCCTCTGTCTCATTGGTAGGTGGTTATCTTGCTCTAGCAGATGCAGAATACAATGTCCCCTTCATTGCATTGCCTCAAGCTCACAATTTTGAAATGGGCTTATAAAATTTAAAAAAATAAAAAAGGGGGAGGAAAAAAGGCCAATGCTTGAAAATAAACATGGAAATATGCCTGAAATGTGCAAAGCTCCTCTTTAAAATTGGCTTGCAAGGCATTAATTCCTACTTCATCATGGACGAGGCTGGACTTGGGGAAAAGATATAAAGGTAAGTTCCTGATGGAAAGAAGCACATTTTAATTGTGGGTTTTGCTGCATTTATGCAGTTCTTCAGCTGATGGGTCCTGTCCGCAGGTCGCAGCAATTGTACTTCCAGGCCAGCTTGGCCAGAGATGTTTGGTTGGGGGTCTCAGTGCCACTTCCAAGGTGAGGTTGGTGGAGTACAGATAGTGATCCAGTCAAAGCTGCAGCTGGAGATCTCTGATTTACTACACAGACAGCGCCTTGCTCCCGTTTCCTAACAACGTGCCATGTGCAATCAGCCAGTGGACACTTACAGACAGTATTTGCTCTACATCAGTGTGACATCATGAGTGTCACTGACCATGGTTCAAACATAAATATACACATATGTATTTGTTACTTAATTTCCAGTTTTGCTTTTTCAATATCGCTATGAGCATATTTCAATACAGGCCAAACTCCTGGTGAAAATAGGTTGGGCAGTTTAAATTCTGCAAACTCGTGGAGCTCTACTGAGAAGCAAGTTTGATCATGAAAGGACTCCACAGAGCTGTACAGAAAAGCACCAAGTTTTTCTTTTACTAATAAAACCATCTGTAGTAACACGGATACCAAAGCTGGTGCTGTAACTGAAGCGTGCAGGACGATTGCTTGAACAGCCCACAAGCCAACACACAAACAAGATGAGGCGCAGCTGCAGCACTGTGTAGTAACAGCTGAGAATTGCTGTTAAAACAGAAAATCGCTGAACAGGAGCAGGCTTGTTGAACAAACAAGGAGTGCTATTTGTTCCATGACAACCCAGGGCAGTACTATTACTTATTTTCCAAGAGGCATGGGAATTCATCCGCTGCTTCCCCTGCAAAATTTGCAATACTCAGCGATGTAACGTGCTGAAAAAATAGATTTTATGATAGTTGCAGATCCCCAAATGTCTGTATTTGTAGTGATCCTAGAGCACCCTTGCACTGGCTCGTACCTGCTATTTCTACCATGAATGAATTGAACTCTCTGTCAGAAGTGAGGTGGTGTTATTTATTTATGTACTTGCTAGAAAGTATAGTAGCTGGGAGATAAAATACAGCTATAAAAGACAAGAGATACCATAATTCAACTCCAGGATAAGATCTCACTCATAGTGACTATCTGGAAATCAATATTTGTCCTAATGCATTTACTCCCAAGTTTATAATTTATATCATGAAGGCAGTCAATAAAGAGCTGCTGCATATGTATTTAGAATTTTATCAGCAAAATGTAAATTACCGGGCCTAATGCAATATTTCTTACTATAAAAGCCCTGAGATAAGAAATGCAGCATGGGCTCTTGGAAGAACTCTGTGATGAGATATGCAAATGTTTTCCTTGGTGGTAAGATCCGTAAAATGTGTACTACTCATGAACTACATTTGTGAATGGAAGCTCCATAATATCGTTAACTGAATTTTCATTTTGCAATGCTTGCTTATGATATCCATTATTCAGATGCTATAAGTAAAGCACTGCACAGCAGAGATAGAATTTACAGTATGGGGTCAGTTTCCAAAGAAAAAAGGGGTGGTCTGAACCATTAATTTAAATATGTTTCCATGTGATCTCCCAAGCATGTTATTCTGATAAGGTTTTTAACTCAAATAATAACTTCTAAGAGGCCAGGAAAACTTTAATGTCTTTGAGATTAGAGGCAATGGCTGTGCAATCACTGCTTGCCTCTTAAATAGTCTGAGCCATCAAAACATATTATAAATCTTTCCAGCTGAAACACCATTTATTCTGCATGTAGAATATTTTATAGGTAACATACTTAATAAATTGTGGTTTATTGCAATTGTAAATTTATTTAAAATTTGTAGTTTGTAATTGTGTGGTCTATTGTCATTGTAAATTCTATCTGCATTGTACTCTTCTGCTGTGAACAAAACTTCAGAATTTCCTTGGAAGTAGGCTGCAAAATTTATCGTTTCTTCAGCTGTAAGCAGGTTGCTTTGCCTTCAGGTAGGGTTTCCAGTGGTTTTGATAAGTGTGTAGGACAGAGGTATTAATCTGGTGAAAAGTGGCAGCTGTTTTTCAATTAATTAAAAAAAAAAGAAAAAGAAGAGCATTAAAGAAGAAGAGCAGAGCAATTTGCTGGAAGGAAATTAAAAATGTCATCTGTGTTTGAAATGAGAGAGGAATGTATGGAGGGGCTATACGTGCTCAACCCAGGGCCTGGCCAGGACAAGGAAGTTAATGAAGCCTTTAATATAAAAAAAGGACCCTGGGGTTTTCATGGTGCTGGGGCACGTGCCCGGCATCACCTCCAGCTTTGCCTCGCTCCTTGTGGATTCCCCCTTGGGTCCATGGCCTGTCAGTGCCAAGTTTGTTGAGAGGAAACAGACCATTACTGGATGTTTTGCTTTAAAATCTATTTGAATAAACGTATGTTGTAAGTAATAAAACACAATCAAAACTGCACTGCATGATGATGAAGAATTAGCACATAAGGGAATATTGTAAATAAAGCTACAGAAACATATAGGAAAATGGAGAGTACTTCTGGACATGTTAGGTACACAAATGTCTTGGTAATTGATACAAAACTAGTACAATATATTTTTAAACAGCATTTAGCTTTCTAATTCTTTTGAAATACTTAAAAACAGCCATTTTCAACCCTACCATTTTATTATTCTTTTTTTTTTTGTTTGTTTGTTTTTGTTTTTTTTTGTCCCCCTTGCAGCATCCTGGCACTCTTGCCACGCCAGCATGGTGCAGGAAGGGAGAAGGAATTTCTTTGAGCTTCTCCAGCAGGAGAAAACATTTCAGAAAAGGTGGCCACCATCATGGAAGCCCCTCAGGGGTAAAGATAAAATGAAAGGAAACTTTTATTTATTTTTGATCTGTTCTTAGGACTGTACCAGGGTAGCCCGGCTTGATGGGATCAGCTGTGGAGCCCTCTCCTCTAAAATATGGGGATCTTCCAGTGATTCACAGCCAGATCCAGATGAAAATGCTTCCCCTTTCCCCTGGCACTAATTTAGTTTTAACTATAACCAACTGGTCCTTGTCAAGCACTCCTGAAGGAGCGGTGGGGATGGAGGTCTGGTGCAGCTGGGCTGGTCAGCACTGAGGGCTGCACCTGGGCAGGCGGCACCCAACCCCACTCGCTTAAATTGCCCTGAGGAGAGACTTTTCCTCTCTTTAGCAGATGGGAAGAAGGGAAGAGTGGGGTTGTGGGGTAGCTGCTGTGCCCCTTCCAGCATGCCTGGGTCATAGAGCACCATGGTGGGGTTTGGCGTGCTGAGGTTTTGCTGGCATGGACTCACGTCAGGTTGTGACTGAGACTGGGCCTGGAGAGAAACCTCGCTGAGGTAGGAAGGGGCAATCCTGCCCCAGGGGCTGAGGGAGGTGAGGTGCTGTGTTTTGGGGGCTGTGGTGGGGAGGCTGAGCTGGCTCACTGGGGTTGGGTTTGCCATTGTGAGGGTGACTGGTGGGACAGGGGAAAGGCAGCGTCTGGCAGTGCTCCTCCTTGCTTTGTGCTGTGCTTCAGACAGTGCCCTCCCTGTGCCATTATCTTGAAGCACTGAAGGCATTTCTTCCCCACAAGACTCTTTGCAGTATCCTAGACCAGAAATTAACCTCTCCATTCCTCATTCTCCATCTTCCAAGCAATGGAGAGGACGCATTGTAGTAGCTCTCATCAGCAGCCCTGAAACATCTCCCTTTAGATTTCAGGACAGGCCCTATCCATGCTGTTTTCCTTGTATAGAAACACATATAGACATATACATCCACCCTGGGTTTTCTAAAAGTAATCAATACTAA